TATCGTAATTTTGTATTCGGAAAGAATAAACCAGTTTTATTTAAGAAAGGACTTGTGTCACTAAAGTTTAGTCGGAAAGAATTTACGGAAAATTAATTAACGAACGGAGACGTAACAATATACAACAAACTCAAAGATAAGCAGAGAAAAAGTGGGCAAAAATGAATAAGCTTATTAAAAAATGGAAAGTCACCCAGAAAAGATTGGTTCTAAATATATATATTTGGAAAACAGAATATATGTCTGATTGCATTTATGATACTTTGTATGACACTAATAACTACCAGGGATTTTCATCATTAAGTTATTTTAGTAAATCATTTACTTCAATTCTAAATAAAATATTATGTTGTTTGTTTGTTTGTTTTTACGATACGAATAAAATATTAAATGAAAATCAGACTGAATTTCGTACAATATATTGTTACGACAGCGGAGGTCATGTGACTTTAGTAACATGTAATGGCTTCTAGAAAATTCATGTCCCTTCTTGAAGCCTCGAGTGGTTACTATATATACGGTAATCTTGCATATAAGACCGCCAAGAACTGACGTCAACAATGTAATTGAACTGCAGACAGAGAGAGACTGACGATTGACTCGAGCACGTGAGTCGTTGTTGTGAATTAAGCGTTTGTTATAGCGTGACTGTGGGAATTAAGTGTATTGCAAAGTTGTTTTCAGAAAGAATAAACCAGTTTTATTTAAGAAAGGACTTGCGTCGCTAAAGTTTCATCGGAAAGAAATTATACGGGAAATTAACTAGCGACCAGAGACGTAACAATATTAAACTATTGGTCATAATTTTCCGTTAAAAGGTACTGATATCTTTTGCTGAACAAAAATTAATTTTGAGTATTTTTGTGACTCTTAGAAAGCATAAGTATTTCATTTTAACCGTGTTGGACATGACGGTTTATATATAATAAATATAACTTGAAATCCTCAAATCTCTCCTGTCCACCCCTCAAAGTTTACTGCCCTCCTGAATTTAAAAATGACCACTAGGCGGCTGTACCATGTGGGGAAATACTGGTTTGCACAAACTGGTGGAAGCAACTATGTAATGTAAAAATTTATTGTAATTAGAAATGTGTATAAGAAGATCAATCACATTTATTTCAAAACTATAGTTATAAACTATAATAAACTACTGTTTATTAAATACTTGCTATTTAAGCAATCTGAGTGCAATAAGTTTTGTTTTTTTTTTACTTCAACTAGAATAACTGTATATGACTACCATATATATATATATATATATATATAAAACCTTGGATGCTACATCACTGTAGTTAGGGCTATGAGAAATTAATAATTCAGAAAACTTCTCATTCCAGCCATGTGACATATTAAAAGACAAAGTGGATATTTCCAGTAATCTTGAAAATTATCGTTCGTACATGTGAAAATATTAATTGAAAAGATTCCATCAGTAAATATATTTATCTTCATTGGATAAAGTATTAAATCTCTTCGGAGATATTTACAAAGAATTATCCTGTGTGGTATGTAAAATGAAATTTTACATATTACATAGTATGTTTTAGAGAGGAAGCGAGTTTTAAAAATTTTAAGTAATAAATCTTCACAGGTTTTGTAATACTTAATTTGTTTGTGTTTTGTTATTATTGCAGCTTCTAGATAGTATATAATTCTTTATTTTTATTTTTTTTACTTTATACTGTTTTGTATTATAATACAGGAATACCATTCTTAGCTTCATTAACTGATTTTTTACAATAACACATTTTGTGTATGGTCGGGCATGGCCAAGGAGGGTAACATGGTGGTCTGCAGGGCAAATGGTCCAGAGTTCAAGACATAGTGCTGCTAAATATGCTCCCCATTTTCAGTTGTAGGTAAGCTATAAAAGTGGCATTCAATTCTGTTATTTGTTTCAAAGAGGCAGATACAACATTTTTTATGGCATATGCTGCTGACTAGCTCCCTTCCCTCAGATGACAAGCTCAAAATTGGGGACAGCTATACTTGTACTCTGTAGGTCTGTGACTTTTCTGATTAGCACAGGTGTACTTATACAAGGCTAATCAGGTTGAAATTTTCAATTATATTTCTATTTTAGCACTCTTATTTATGTAGTTATATCTCCTCACTTTATCATGTAGTATATGCTTCTTCCTTGAAACCATTTGCCAGATTTATTACTATTATTATTTAATATTCCCCGTTATCCTCTTGGTATTTGACGGTGTAATTTCTTTGTTTTAACCAATTACATTGCTTGAACCTATTCTTTTACTCTTCCACTTAACAGTTAAATTTTATTGACTTTTTTTTTTCCCTATTAATATTTTACTTATTTTCTTTTTTGCTTCAGAAAATTTTATTGAATAGGTGGTTTCAATTATTAAAATAAACACTGGCTTATTTTGTTTTTGCTTAAGAAAAGTTTATTGAATAGGTGGTTTTAGTCATTTAAATAAACACTGGCTTATTTTCTTTTTGATTAAAAAAATTTTCATGGATAGGTGGTTTCAATGATTAAAATAACCACTGGCTTATTTTAAAGCATGGTAACTCCCTTTTGTGATTCACTTTGACATTCCAATCAGAAGACCAGGAACACTAATGGCTTGAATTCTCAAGAGGCAGAGGTTATGAAAGCCATAATGTAGCATAGCTTCAGTTTTGAGACATTATTGTGATACAAAAGAGGAAATCTCTTTCAACAAAATTGACTTGAGCACATTCCTGATCATACTATAAATTAAAATATAAAGCAACTTTCCACATTAACATTATAGTTATTCCCTTGATACTTATTGAGCTCTGTAAAAACTTTTATTTGCTTTAGAAAACCTTTTTACCACAAGTTCATAAAAATATTTTGAGGCCCTTTAAGTAAATTCTGGTAAATCCATTCTTCACTTAAAACAACAATTCTATCTATCTATGGCCACATACATTTTCTAAAATGTGTGCAGGTATTCCTATTGTTAGAGATGCGATGCAAAAGAAATTTACCTACATTATGTTTGTACTTTTTTTGTTGTAGTTCTTTGCTGAGGATTATGTTCATTTTTGTAAGAAGAAAAGTTACATTTGTTTTGTATTTAAAATTAATACCACTGCAGTGTGATGAAAACATTGTTCTACATCTAGCTGGAAAGCCATATAGACTCAGTACTTTTGATAAAAAAAGGAGAAAGAAATGTTAGCATAAAGAAACTCCACACCTAAAGAAATAATCTCTATTATGATCCTAGCTAGACTGATGAAAGCTGAAACATTATGTAAGCCGATCAAACATAAGCAAACATGTTTGAGCTAATGAAGGAAACCAGATAGCAAAATCTATGGAAACCTATATAATCTCAAAAATTTCTGTGATAAATTTGACTATAAAGCTAGATGGTGCCATAATCACTTTTTTATTTTTGGACATGAAAGAGTAAGAAGGTATTGAATACAAATATCAACCAAGACTAGAAATTTATTTTTAAACAGCCTAGATTGTTGTTTATGCACTTTTATTTTATTTGTTGAAATAAAATAACCTTTTTACAAATATCAAAAAGTATACACAGCACATTCACAAGTCAGATCATCAGATTGTAAATTATTTTACTACATTTACTGTTCTCCACACATTCTTTATTCACATCAAATAAAACCTTGGCACAAATGTGATGTAGACACTGAAAAACATGTTGAATGTTCATTTTCAAATAATATTTAGTACATTGAAAGTTATGTGATAATTTATTGGAAATCTAAACTCCTAACAATTAAACATTTTGCACATAATACAAGTTTGATTTAAATTTTATCATAAATTCATTCAGATTTCATAACACATGTAAATAAGTAACACTAGAGAAATAAAATATTTGTAGTTAAGTACAAACAATAAGAATTTTTTTAATATAAAATTTCCATTTTTATATTCACAATAGTCATTTATTAAGTATATATGTTATAATGAGACAAAAACATCAACCCAGGCCAGTGTTTTACAACATGTACCTTAAATCTATAATCAACAATTCTCTTTATAGAATGAATTGAACAAACTGAAATTTCACTAGCAAGAATCTTATGATCTTAAAGGGTGCTTCTGCTTTGAGAATAGTTTATAATCAACAAGAGTAAAATTATATATACGTTGATGTTTTTCATGGCTGTTTAAGACGCTACATTAGAAAAAATACAAAAATTTACTCGACCGCACTTACATTTGTCAATAATTATAAAAACTATCAATCTACATTGTTGTATTATAAGAGAATAATGCGTGATCAGTTTTCTGAAGTAAACTTCATTTATGTAACAAAAACTTTTACAGGGGATTTTGAAAGTACTATTTCCAGTATTTTTCTGTCATAAAAATGTAAAACACTACAATTTTTTATAATACAGATTTTGAAAAACATTAACAAAAAATATATTCTTCCCACTAAAAGTATTCTTTTAAATAGGACTTAACCAGGATTGTATTAGTATAGTACTGAGTAGCACACTTGGTGGTTCTATTACTATCTTCCCTATAAACTGCATTTACACTTAAGTAAAATCTTGAATGTTTTTTTATGATGTACTTTTTTCATTATGGTTCTTCTTTTTTCAATAACTTATTTTACTATAGATGTGATACCTATTTTATTTTAATGAGATGAGGTTTTAGTGTGTCATTTACTGCATCTGGAGCTTTGCTATTCCATGAAGAAGAGCACAGTTTTCCTCTTGAAGCTTTCTGTTCTTGTTCTCAGCTGCTGCCAGATCCTAAAGTGTGTCAAGGAAAACAATAAAATGATTAAAGTAACAAGAAATAAGATATGTTTGTGTATAGATATAATGACTATGTGTTTGTTAAAATACTGAGGTTTAATTATACATGATAAAAATTATATTCCAGGTCCTGTGCTCAGTGGCAGCGTGAGGATTCACTGTGCCAAGGGGCAATGCTCTTTTTTGGCACCCCTAATATTTAAAACAGTCATTGACCAGCCCCAGACAGTGCCCTCTTTGCATGGTGCCTGGAGGCAGTTGGCCCCTCCCAATTCCCCCTTCATGCTTGTGCTGCCCATGATCGTGCTCAGTCTTATGGCTATGATTATGCCCTATTGAGTGACAGTGCATTTTACATTGTACACTTGAACTTCTGGAAAGGATGGTAAGGTTTAACTTAAGACAACACATCTTCACAATCTTTCAACAGATCTTACATGGATGTTGGCTTCTTAGATCAGATTTAAGAGGACCAAAGACATGAAAATTCACTGAATCTATATAGGCCTTGACAGATATATGGCAGTTGGAACTGTTGAAATTCCAACATGTTTGGCCATCTTTCTTATGAAAATTGCTGTTGATTCTGATGTATTCCAGCTGGAAGTTTGTAATATTTTGGCTTGTAAGCTTTTATCAAATTAATCTTATTAACAGTATCAGAGATGCACCCAACTTTATTACAAAGGGATTTTTGGTTGGAGAGTTGTCTTTCATAACTATGGGCTTCACTTTCTGAATGAGGGCATTGCTCCAAGTTGGTAAGGGGGTAGAATTGTGGCATATGAATATATTGTGTTTCTTTTAGTATCATATTGTCTATTCTGAATTTAGTGCTTGTTCTGAATGTGTACAAGTTTCACATAACATGTGGTTGAGAAAATCATTAAGTTGATATTGTTTGAAGTTACTTTTGTTCCTTTGTTGTTCTCAGAAGTAGATAATATCTGTCAGGCTGTCACTATCTTGGGAGATTATTACTTGATATGAAATATTGTTTAAGGATGTCAACTGCAGTATCCTTCAATGTTTGTTCAGGTGAGGTGGTATTAAGTGGTTATGCCCCCACCTGTTTAAGATGAGGTAATGTTGTAATGAGAATGACCAGTCATATGGGTAGCACATGTCACACTGGGTAAATGTGAGGTTTCTTTGAAACTAAGGGACCTTGAATTTGGCAATGTGGTATGAAACTTCAACCGAGTAAGGAACAGGATATGGAAGAGTAAACAGATGAAACAATCCAGTGAAAGCAACAGTCCAACATGTTTAAAACATCTTATTAGGTACACACATTATGTTTGTGTTTCATTACATAACAAATACTGTTCATTTCATGCATCACTTTGTGTCCATTCTCTTTATTTAATTTAATATCAATCCAGTTAGTAAGAGTTATAGTATTATTCCATAATCAATATCTTGATGAATCTCCAGTAAACCTGTCCAATGTTGTTCTAGAGCTAATTCAGTTCTACCTGAATATGCCATGTGATTTCAAAGCACATTACTGTTCTAAATACTCTGAAGGTTACCTTCATCCACAAGATGTGGCTTTTGACTCTATATCATTTAACAGTCTTGCTATATGAATATCTCTCCTCAGAAAGGACTGTGGCATTTTATCCCAGCCATAAACATCTGTGGTGGCATTACTCTGTTGAATGGCAGGGAACTTGGCATAACCTGGTCACCCATAGCACCATGGCTAGCATACTTGGCAACACATCAGGGCAAACCATTCTTATAAAGTGAGATTAACCTTCTGTAACTATTTATGGATTATGTAAGTCAGCATTCAGCTTAATATTTATAATAAAATATTTTACTCAGTGAAATTGTGAATGCTAAGAATATATATATTAAGTTTTTGCCACATTATTTTTTGAACAAAAATTTTATGTCTAAATATTTGCACTGTTCATTTTTATAATCTTGTAAGGTTATGTTTCTTAAAAAGTTGGTAACCTTTCTGTGCTGAATGCATCCTATTACTGGATATGTATATGAACTTGTGTTATTTTGAGGTTTTAAGTGTTTCCTTTCAATAGAATGAAATATTTTATAGTGTGTGAAAGGAGTTGCAGAAAAACTATTATAAAAGATAAATGCAGATTTATCTTTAAGATTTATTGCTATTTATATAAAATAGTTGTTTTAATGAACATGTCCATCTAACTCTTTACAACTGGAATCAACGGTCGCCAATTACAGTGGAAAAATAGGTATTATCCAATAGGTACATTGAATGGTAAAGTATATTAGGAAAAACTTAAAATCCCAATTTAATATAAAAAAATCCAATAATTTTATCAATCAAAGATCTGAAAATAGCACACCTAAACTACCTTTTTCTTATCAAAATAAAAATTATATCAATAATTATAATTATTGCTGAGCAAGAAAGATAATCATCCAACCCATTCATTTTCTACATAGTAATAGACATTCATGAAGATCAGCAGACAACCAGTAAAACCAGTAATAATGATACGCTAGACTGAATGGTACCTTCAAGTACCTAAAGTTTAAATATAAAGCATTAAATCTACAAACCTGATTTAGACTTAAAAGTTGTTCTTCCAACTCAAAAATCTTGTCATCTTTTGTTTTTACAAGTTCTTCCAGTATTTGATTTTCTTCTTGATAATGTTGAAGCAACTGAAAATAAAAACAATTATAAATATTCTTAAAGAGTAACTTGCTTAATACTTGATATTAGTGTTTTGTGCTAATTGCATACTTCTCCTACTATACATAAAATTAATATAATCTATTGGACCTTATAGGTAAATCCCATAAAAATATAAGATGTACAATTATCTCTATGGATTAGGTACATAAGAATATCACAGTAACATCTTATAGGTTGTGGTTCCAAAAGGATAAGAAATTTTTTGGGGGCTTAGAAATCAAACTTATGTATTTTTACAGCAAAAAATAGAATAAAGGTCTGCTAACACAGCTATAACAAAAAGAATGGCCTCAAATGTAAAAATGACATTATTTGTAACCTCTTCTATTGTTGGGTGGGTTCTTTTGTATTATTTAGTAAAAATAATTTCAAGTCCAGTCCATACAACAATAACAAATTAATTTATTTCTTCAATAATGTTTTTGACAGTACAGGTTACATTCATTTGAAAGCTCAATTTCACAAACAATGTTTTAACAGAAATTATGAGGCTAATGGTGCATATGCTTAACTTGCAAAATTTTCTCACTAATCAATCATGCTGTCTAACTCTCACTGTTAACTCACACTAAACTGAATATCTCAATCATTCACTGCTTCCTCTCTCTGGCATTTATATCATTCCTGTTTTCTACTTACTACTCAAAACTACAGTTATGGTACACAGATGGGATGACCTCTTGTCCCTTATTATCAGTTTCTGTCCTGTCACTGGGGGAGTTCTTTCTAGGTAGATGGCTCTTCAGCAGGTTGACTTTCTACTGGCAAATTCTATCCTGAAGTACTTAGCTTACCATTCTCTCACTGAACTACTTCCAAAGATCATGGTGGATGACTTTTACTTAGATCACCTATCCTTGTGGATTCTATAAACTACATCATTGATTCTTTTTAGTACAGACTTTGGTAATTCCCAACACTTGCTTAACTTTGGAATCCATCCTTCTTTGCAGTGGGGATTGTACAACCATACTGGGTCACCTCAATGAAATCCAGTATTATCAGCATTAACATCATAGTGACTTTTCACTTTATTGCTGTTTAAGTCTTTTCAGGGTAAAGTCACATATGACATCAATGGTGTTCCATATTCTCTCTCTATATTCTGTACAACACTCTGTTTTTTTTGATATTTTTTATTCCAAGGATCTGACACATTTCCATAATCAAGGTTGATTGATAATTCTCTGCTTCCTAGTTAGGAACAGCATAAGCTCTTGGCCACTTGGCAAAATAATACATCACAACATTGATGTATTTATTCCCACAATTACTCTGTGGCAAAGGGCCAGAGACATTGACAGCAACTCTCTCTCTAGTGGTGCTCCAACACACTTCTGCTGTATCTGCCCATGTTGTTTCTTTCATGGATATTTTTGCTCATAGTATAGTTCACATACTACTGATCCCCATCACCTAACCCAGTAGAAGTATCCTCTTAATCTCCCCAGGTTCTTCCTAACACATAAGTGCCCACATGTTGGAAGGCTTCGTAGATGACATATTGCTTCATAATGTAGAGTTTGTGGAAGTACCAACTGTACTGGTATCTTTCCATTTCCAACCTAACAAGCCTTCTTGTAGGCATAATTATTCTCACAGTGCCAAGTACATCTTTGTCTTTTGGCTGTATGAAATCATTGTTTGACACAAGAGTTTTTCTGCGCTATTCTTGACCCACTGAATAATTGGTTTCAAACTTATATTTTTTGCCCAAAGATCTTACTGCTGAGTGTTGGACCATATTATTTTTCCATTCTCAGTTGTGGATGCCCCATCTTTGACTATACTGTGTTATACTTTAGGTTGGTTTTCTATATTATCTCATGGTTTCATATTTTCACGCACACTACATTCTTCATTAATATTTGGTCTTCAGGATAATGCCTCAGTATTTCCAGGGTTCCATCCTGGATGATGCATGATGTTTCTGGAGCAATCTTGATATCTGGCCTTCTGGATTGCAAAAATTCTTCAGCTACTTCAATGATGCATGATCTGTCTGGAGTATAAACTTTTGTTCAGATAGGTAATGATGGAAATGACTTAGGGCTCGAAAAACGTTTAGTAGCTCTTTCCAAGTTATACAATTCTACCTTTTTGCAGCATTCATTGCCATGCTATAGTAGGCAACTCCATATTCTTTTCCATACTGTACTTGTGATAACTGCTCCTACTGCAAAATTACTATCCTCTGCATCTATAATGAGTTGATTTCCAAGTATTTGGTATGCTAATACAATACTAGTGGTTATTTCTTGCTTCAGTTCGTTCAATGCTTGTTCACAATCAGCAGTCAAACAAAACTTATTTGGTTTTTCAAGTAAGCTGTGTGGAGGACATTCTATGTCAAAAATGATCAACTTC